TATATGTTTTGAGTCTGGTTTTGTTTTTGATTTTTTAAAAATAATTTACGTGCTAAAAAAATACAAATACAAATATGGGGATGTAGAGAGGAAACAAATCTACACCCCATATTTTTTATTTTTTATTTTAGTTATTGTATGGCGGCGAAAAAAATTTCGCGGGCCGAGCTGTATCACGTTGTAACGGGGTATAACGCGAAGTTGAAATGGGGGTTCAACGGAAGTTGAACCGTTCAACTTCAAACCCCCGTTGAATCAAATTTCGGACACATAGCACGTCAACCCCGCACATTCGGCACCAGCCCGTCGGGTCGCTCGACTCCCACTTAACTCACCTCTTACTTCGCTCGTGTGTCGGCCCTCACTGACCGCGCCACCCCGAACTTCCTCTAACTTTTTAAGAGCGCTATCTAATCGCGCAACCGGAATTTATAGCGTGCATGCTTGCGCAAAGAACACAGAATTGCAAGGACTTAGATGGGGAGAAGAGGAGGGATTGCCTACGTTCTGCATGGTCAGGCCGCGGCGTGGGGGACGTAGCCACTCTCCACGCATCGATTTGAGCATGCAGCCCGCGGTTACCCAAGACACATCAAAAGAGAAAGGAAGGCGGGAAAGACGAAACTCAAGAAAAATGATACAGTTACAATGGCGTCCGCCCAAAAATTACAGTAACACACAAGATAAAGGGCGCTGACTAATCATAGCTCCGTTGCAGCCGCAAAAAGAAGCGCGCAAGCAAAAAGTAGCGCGCGACAAAAAGAAATCCGAATTCCTAAATTCCTAAATTTCTATCTAATGCAAAAAGCTGCCGAAAGAAAAACACAAATTCCGTAAAGAAAGTCCGAAATTTCGAGAGTCACTAAGACTCGACAAGATTGAAAAAAAAATCGAAAACGAAAATTTAAAAAAAGAACGAAGCAATTTCCCGCGCGATATCTGCGCCCAAGATAGAACAGCGACGAAAATAAACGACGTTAACATTTATTAATCGCGCGCACGACGGCGTGTCAGCCACCCAGCCGACCGATCAACCGACCATCCTAGGACCTGCCCAGTCTCACCCCAGCCATTCAAAAAGAGGCGACGCAAAAAGGACGAAGAAGCGAGGACACTGATGCAATTTTCCATCCGATCCCAATCTCCCGCAATTGGCACAATCTTCCCAACTTAGGACCCCTCATTGTCTTCACGCAGGAAATCACACAGAACAGAAATCGGTTCGTCACAACGGACCGTCGTTGTGGACCGTTTTTTTGACTGGTAGGCCGCTGCGGACATGCTCTTGTTTTTTGCCACGGAAAGACATGTCTTGGTGCATGCCGATAGAAGGGCCTGGACCACATCATCCCCAGGCCTACTTGCCTCTTCGGCACTCGTGGTTAACGACCACCTGAAATTTCAGAATGAAAGATTCTGAAGTGGTCTGAAACCGCTGAAATGGCCTGAAGACATTTCATGTCATTTCAAAAGTTTCGGGTGGTTTGAAGGACAATTTTTTTTTTTTTTTTTTTTTTTTTTCCTACCTGTTTTTTCAGCCACTTCAGGTCATTTCAAGAATTTCAGGTGGGGACCTGAAACCGCTGAAGTGGCTCAAGCTTCTGAATGGGGTTTCAGGTACCCCTATCCAAATGGTTGGATGAGGGTACTTGAAACCCCTTTCAGAAGCTTCAGCCACTTCTGGTCATTTCAGGAATTTCAGGTGGAGACCTGAAACTGCTGAAGTGGCTGAAGCTTCAAAAAGGGGTTTCAGGTACCCCTATCCCACCATTTGCAATGGATGTGTAGACAATCTTAAAGTGGTGTATCAACCTGAAGTGGCTGAACTGCCTGAACGCGGTTTCAGACAACCCCATGTATAGATCCACACACAATCTGAAAGTGGTGTAGTAACCTAAAGTGGTTGAACAACCTTGACAGGAGACCTTAAAATATACACACCCGTTAGCCATCTCTCCTTTTCGGGAAACACCCCAGGGGGATTTCCTAATCGGGCATATCGAAGAGTTTCCAGTGCCGAAAGTCTAGGGCTGCGGTGAGGTCCCAACAAAACACGACAACTTCTTTCCAATCACGGTCAGCCGTTTTTTGTGGCCAACAGCAGTTTCGAGCCGGAAACCAGTGGGGTCTAAGCCTAAAGGTGGCTCCTTCCGATATTTGGAACTAGACACCAAAACCACCAAACTACTAAAAAAAATAATAATAAAATTATAGCTGCAAAGTGTAAAACCAAGAAGCCAGGGGCCAAGTCCCACTAGCAAAGAGGATTGGATTGAATGCCTGCATCTGGACGTCTTTTGTGAGAAGGTGCACAAACTCGAGATTGAACTGCTTGTCTGCACCTCTGCTTAAGACACCTCCAAATTCAAGAGCTTATTCCAATCCTCGTTGGTAGTGGGACCTCCCCCCCCAGTACTGTTGTGTTCCTACCACAACTCTCTCCTGCGACAGAAGTATTTGTTCAGTTTATTTTTCTGCATAACATATATTTTCTCAGTTCTTTTTTTTTTTGGAAAATTTGTCTGGCACCCCTGTATTTTGCGATAATTCGCGCCATGCCCCTCCGACGGCCGGTTTACCCTGTCGCGCCCCTCTGAGCAGGGTTGCAATTTTCCAAAAGACCCTGGTGTCATTCGGGCCTCAAATCTTTTCGTCACGCCCCTACCGGTACCGGTCAGTAATTTGCGGGATGCCCCTACCGGATGGCGGTTAAAAGCCAGCAGACAAATTTTTGAGATGCCCCTACCGGTACCATCCATCTTTTCGGCATGCCCTTGTTGCCGTTGGAGGCGCTTTGGGGCATTCCCCCCGGGCCTGTGAGGGAGCTACCGGGGCAAGACAAAAATTTGTCGGTGGCCCCATCTTTCCGCCGCGCCCTTGCTTGCATACAACGACAGTAGGCAATGTACAATATGCAGACTATGGAGAAAGGGACGAATACTTAGAAGACAGTACGTAGAAAAAAGTAGGCGTAGGACTTAGCCTGAAGGAAACGGAGATCCGAGAGAAAGACGAAGGTGATAGCTATAAAAGAAGACCGCAGAGCTTAGGCTATCATCTACCCTCGACTGCGTGAACTGTAGAGTGTGCTGGTTCGTGAGGGAGCCTCCTGATGAGTCTGCCCGTTACGCAGGCAGCGAAACGCGTCGAGGCAAACGCGTACGATGGTGACAATAAGAGTGTGTTGTTTTTGAGTTTTTGGAACGATATCTTGTCGCCATCGAGTTCCTGGTGTTTACTAACCTATCGATGCGTATCCTTGTGACACGTGTCCATAGGAGAGTCTCCAGTATTCCCCTCTTAATCTTAATCTCTATCTCTCTCCCTTTCTCTCTTCTCTTCCTCTACCCCTGTCTTGGTTCTTTCTGGCTTATCATTTCTTAATCTCTATCTCTCTCCCTTTCTCTCTTCTCTTCCTCTACCCCTGTCTTGGTTCTTTCTGGCTTATCATTGGTTGTTGCTCAGTCGCTGTTTA